CTGTTTTAGTGTAAAGTAACAGCAGAAGTGTTGTAAAGTATAAGCAAACATAATAAAATAAATAAAATTCCAAAAAGAAATTTGAAGCAGAAGAAAGCAGGATCAGAAACAGCTTGCTTACTTGATATTGGCAACAAAATTCGCTGGAGATTCAATCTCAATTGCCTAGATTGCACGCTTGAGGTGGAAACAAAATCCCTTGCAATTTTCTCCAGCGGTTCGTTGCAATGATCGCCTTAAAGATCTCTGAAGCTTGAGATCCGAATCCGACAAACCTGCGGTTGACCAATTTACGTTTTTGTGTGTAGGAGAATCTTTGTTTACAACATTTGCCTCATTACCATAAGCGATACCGTTTCTAATGGAGCTACAAAAACACTAGTTCTGAATATCAAAAGTGCACAGCACGTATAACTGTCCAAAGGAATTTGAGTCCGATGTATTGAACACTTTTTGTGCGACATGGGTTTGAAAACTCAAAATTTTACAAAGAATGTATGAGCTCATTAGCGCTTTTGCCACCCAAAAATTTTACAGGTTTTGAAGGCCAATTTCTCCTCGAATATTACACCCAAAGAGCCAAACATTTCACAAATTACTAAGTTTTACAAGCTCTTTAAATGTTTTTAAAGTGGGAAAATGCAGATAAAATAGTAATCAGTGACAAGCATTTTGCTTGAAAAAGTTTTCCAAAATAAATGGTCACTTTAAGGTCTACGGTAACCTACAGCTACTCAAGCTTGAGAGGAAAAGCAATCGTTTTGTGTATTTTTTTTTCTTTCTTTTTTACGAAAAAGGGCATATCCTCAATTTGGTCTGTAGGAAATCTACAGAGCAAGACTGACTGAAAATGTTTGGAGCTGAAACTGCAGAGGATCATTAATTTGATGATTCAGTCAGTACGTTTTTACCTGCAGCAATATGTGCCATTTCTCAGCTTGCTTGCTTGAGATCCGGTAGATAATACCCTGATTTTCTGCAAAATACAATGGAAGGTACACGTAGAGTTGGAAAGATTAAACAAGTGATCATCTTAGTTATACATGGACGGTATTATCTTCAAAACCCCTGTAAGATTGATGTGTTTATAATGAGAACTATTGATAAAAAAATGCTGCAGCCGATAAAATGACTGCAAAGTCGTTGGCAAAAATAATATTCAAATTTCGCTTTAGCGTGAATAATTAATAAACTTGATTTCATATTTTAGGGTTGCCCAGCCAGAAACATTTGGATGATCTCCTATCGTTGGGTGACTCCCATCTCCTCCGGGCCAACCAATGGAGGTAAGTGAGTCAAATGTCCGGGTAGGGGGGAGGAGTGGGGGGGGAGAAACGAAAAAAGAAGACAGCCCGCTACCTGGTTCATCCAGAAAATAACAGTTTTAAATATTTCATATAAATTATGATTGAAAGGTGTTATATAGCAACATTATTATGTGGGTCGTTTTATTTAAACGTGTTTATCCTTCCAGTAGTCACAACATTGTGCAAAAATTTCCTTGGCAACACTACATGAAATCTTTTGTTAAATTATCACGGTCATATTCTATTTGACGTGCACAATTCATAGTATGAAATTTACCACAGAAATGAAAAAGACATCATAGATTCATTACATCAAATTTTGTTACCAGAACATGTTACCATGGCAACCGTATGACGCGTTCAAAATTGGAATCTATTGTCTTATTTAGAAAACAGGTCGGTGAAATCTTCCCAAACTCCTATATTAGATGTTATCAGTAATGATCTTCAAAATATTTAAGTTTAAAAAAATTCTGTTGAGCCGATGAAAGAAAAACCTACTTTTCGACTATTGGTTCCTTTGTTTTTTTTCCTTCCTGCAGAATTTTTTGTAAAATCGGAATATATACGCAGCCAATTCCTCTTAGTCGTCACCGAAAATTTTAAAAAATTTTACCGACCAGAAGCAGAGGTATAGACGCGCGAATTGGGAAAACGAGGAAAAATTCCGTGTGAACAAGATCTGTTTTTACGCATGCGCGGAATTTTTCACGCGCTCAATCGAGTCCACGCGCGCGGAACAATAGGCAAAGTAGGGGAATGACAGGATGTCGCCTTCCAGCTGTTACTTAGTGCGAAGTATTTGTATTGTTTGCGAATAGGAGATATCTTTTCGTTCGATCTTTTTATGGTTTAGAAGAAAAGTGACAAAATCAGGCGGGTAAAGTTTGCATAAACGTGCTTCAATATCTGTCTAATCCAAGAAATGTTTTCTTGTCTAAAGTTGCTTGTTATTCGTGGACATTCAAGTCCGGAAACATTTTTTTCTCGCTTAATTTTACAGTTATCATGACAACTGTGGAGTTCACATCTTCATTTCATTTGTATAAACGATAGCTTGTGATGGTTTCATTCAACTTCAGACCTTGAATGTCGGGGGTTCTTGCGTGGATGTTGCAACGCTGCGTTATCAAATAGTGAGAGTTGCGAGATTCTCTTGCAGATTTTTCACAACGATGGCAGGTAATAAGGCAGGGAATAAGAACCAGGGTTCTTATATGTAGCTTTACGCTCTGAACTAATGGAAAAGGTGAGTTTTTCAAGGTCGAAAACTAGGCTTGAATTTCGCGCTGTGAATGAATAACATCTGCTCGCGCTAGTTGTAGGCGTAAGCATTTGCGTTTGTTCTGTAAAGAAAAGTTATGTAAGAAAACTCTTTACACTGGTATCGAGTTAATTTGTGAGTTTCCCAAACAATGCTTAATCATAACCAAACCTGTTTTTGATAGTTTTTATTATTTCTGTTTGTTTGTCGAGTTTGCAAAAGTTTTCGAAAGGAAAGTCTGACGCGTACAAGTAGCTCATTNCTTGACAAGATTTCTTTCGTTGTTATTTGTGCTGAGATGCTGCAACAATTTTCACCAACGCCAAAAGGCTACTTACATTATGTGTATTTCTTTAACATAGTGAGATTTTACTCTGCGAAAATAGACAAGGAGTTTCAATAACTCGACCAACAAAATCGAAATCGTTCGAATTAAAGAAAGCGTCATCGTAACTTTGCTGATTATTTCTGCGTTATTCACATATTTTCAGCTAAGCTTTCAATATGTTCTCAAACATTTATCAACCTTAAACATATTTAAAAACCGGAGATATTATCTGAGTTCGATGTACCTTTTCACACAAAAGTGCGGAAGTCTAATTTGTCATGTTTTACTGATTGTACAAAACACACATGGGCGGGCGCTCCTATTCATCGACAACAGACAATTTATTGGATTTTTACACAAACAAACCTGAGTAGTATCTACAGGCATAAACTTATTGTCACTTATTGGGCCTTGATGAAACATCAAGCGTAACTTACAATTCAGATCAAGCGAAACTCAAACTTGCAATTATTTTTTTTACTTTTCAGTTAAACTCTAGCGAAATCTTCGCAAGCGTGTGGCAAGAGGAGGGAAACTTTAAGTCCTGAAACGCTGCTATATCCGAATATATCTAACTAGTATTTTGCTGTGTTATGGAAAAGCTGTTAATCTTCATGTGAAATGTGAAACTTAGAGTGAAGTAATGAGGAGCTCAAGTATCCAATTACAATCCAAGATGGCAACATCCGAAACCTAATTTACTGAGAAAATAATGCCTTCACTGTTGGCTACATTATATCTGGTTCAAGTTGAGGCAGCTATATTAAGCTCTCCTAAAGAAGCCTTCAGTTCCAACATTCACTGCAATTTCAAACAACAGGTTATTTGTGCCAAGGAAAGACTTCACTTTCTACGAACGATAGTATGTCAGCC